TTATTATTATTATTATTTAGGGGTCTCTTTTCACCAGTTACTACCAGAGTGTGTGTGGAGACAGTACCCAGCATATGTCAGTGTACTAAAAGCAGTTATTTTAATTCATGGCCCTTCCTCCAGCAGTCAGCAGGATGCCTTATTCATTTGCCAGCAGGAGGGTAAATCTATTTCAAAATGATTGAAATATTATGCACAGCTTGAATGAATGTCTAAAATAAATACAGTAGAAGAAACATGTTGTTTGTGAAATGAGAAGATAAATTAAACTCAGTGCAGACACGTTATTCCCAAGCCTGACTGCTTGGCTTTCACAGCAAAATCCTTCAGGCCTTAATCCAGCAGCAAGTACATGGTGTGATTTCCTCTCCTGGAGGAGCAGGACTTTCTCTCCAGACCTTTGGAGGGTTTGGACCAGGCTGTTGCCTCCACAACATCTTAGGGATGGGCCTGTTGGACTCGATGATTCTTGTGGGTTCCTTCCAACTGAGAATATCCTGGGATTCTGTGTTCCACTTTGTGGAAGGACTAATGGCAGGATGGACAGACAGACAGGGAGAGGAGAACCCTGAGCCCTGAGCAGAGCTGGAAAAGTGAAACCCTGTCACGGGGGAAGGAACCAGCCTTTGCTTTCCAGTATCGGGTCTGTGGTTCCCTCCAGCCACTTCTGCTCAGCAAGATTAAATTTATTTTCATCCTCTTAACTGAACTTGCTTTTAATGGCAGTGGGGGTGACAGCCCCCAAAATAGACTTCCCCTGGAGCCCACCCTGCCCGGCCCCGTGTGCCGCCTGTCCCCGATAACCCTCCTCCCGGCCTGGGCTTTATCTCTGCCATGACAAACAGCTCTCCCTGGACAGAAAGAGGAAATTCCACTCATTGTTGTGCTGTGCTGGCCCTGCTGCAGCTCTATCTCCTGCCTGCTCGGGGCTGGCAGGGCTTCCTGAGGTGACAATCAGCGGGAGGCTCAGGGAGGAGGGGTTCAGGCCAAGATTCCCAATAAGTCCCAGTATGAGCCCACTTAGTAAGCCTGACAGCTCTGCCATGGCCCTGTCAGCTGTGCATACATCCCCTTTGTACCTCCTGATCCTGCAGTAGCCAGTCCCTCCTGTACCACCACAACGTGGAAAAGAGCCATCACCCCTCCCCTGCTGCTTCTGAGGCGGGTGGGACTGTCAGGAGAGTGAACAATAGGTACCATCCCTGCAGGCTCATCCAGCAGCTTCTGTTTGAGTTGTGGCAGCACTTAAAACTTCTAAAAATGGAATGGCACCTCCTCATGCTTGTGCTGTAGACAAAGGGCAAAAGGTTCAATATTTGGGTCGTGAAGAGTGCTGAGGTTTAGGATTTTGAAATGGCTTTCCAAGGGCACTGCCTGAAAATGCATTTTTTAGGGACTTTCTAAACTTTGGAGGGTGGACACTCTCCTGGACAGGCGCTGGATATGATTTGATTTATTTTTCCCACTAGCACTAACATCCCAAAACAGCTTTCCTTAAATTTGGAATCTTCCCTGACTCCCATTGCACAGCTGGGTTTGACCCTTCCAATGGATTTCCCTTGGTCTTGCTATTTTTGCACAGCAAAGGTACTTCTTTTACAGGCACCCTGGTGCACCCTGGGGTAAGAGGTGTAGCTTGTAAGCCTTGAGTTCTGCCTGTGCTGCTTTCTGGGGAAATCACACCCAGGGAACTGCACAGGAAGCCAAGAAAGGAAATGCAGCAGCAGCTCTGGAAGGACTGAGCAGCCTCTTGGTTCACAGGAGCCTGGGGCTTCTGAGACATCATTTCACTTCCCTCCTCCCTCCTGGACTTTTGTGCATGGCCACTGATCACTCACTGCTTGCTTGAGGGGATAAAAACTGTCCTTCCAGGGGGATAATCTGCAGGGCACTGAGGTTGGAGGGGCTCAGATACTCTGGTGATTGGGACTGTAAAAATATATTTACAGTTAGTTTGCCAGGTTGCAAAAACAGTCCAGTTACAATACTGGGGAGTATGTGGGAATTACCTGAAAGGTCTCAGTTCCTGGTTCAATATCCCACAGTTCTGGCCCTGCTGCAGCACTTCCAGTCACTGGTGTGTGAGGAGGACAGGACTCAGGGTGCTGACCTTTCCAGCCAGAGGTGAAGGGTGTGACAGTGGTGCCTTAAGGAGAGGAAAGACTGAGACAGTTGAGAACTGGCTTTTAAAGTGCTTTAGTGACATAATTGTTCATAACATTGTTCTCTGTACAATGTAAGTGTTTATGTCCCCTGTTACAGATGGTAAATCTGAGATACATGAAGTGATTTGTTCTGAACCAACAAAGGAGTTGATGCCACACTGGGACTGAGACCTGGACACTCCTGGTTCCCAGAGTTTGATTTCCATACTCACACTGTTCGTTTGCAGCATAACTTTCTCTTGCCATCATCTGACCTGCTTAATTCTCTCCTTCCTTTAAAACCACTCAGTCTGGCAGCTTTTAAACAATATTTCCATTTTACCACAGCCTTGAAAATAGATGAGCTGACTTATATCAAGGGAAAGAGTTCCCAAAAAAAGTCCCTTTGCTCTGCCACTTGAACTCTCAGCAACAGAACCAGCTGGAAAATAAAAATAAGGAAAATTATTTCCTCTTAAACCAGCGGAAAATAAAAAAAGGCTGTGAGGGAGCAGAAATTCACCAAAAAGTTATTGAAGCTTCTTATTGCACCTGAAACTTAAATGTCAACAGTTATACCCAGCAAACGTTCCCACTGCTCAGCTCCCCTCGAGTAGAAGGTGTTTCCTGGAGGGATGCACGTTTTGCTGTGCTGAGATGGATGGGCTGGGACCAAATCTGAAGCCAACTGTTGGTGGGAGGCTCCTGTGCTGTGTTTTTGTTTGAACAAGACCTTGGTGTTTCAAAGGGAAAGATAATCTGTGTTTGCTCTGGGGTTTATTGTGGAGGATACATCCAGAGCTGGGGATTTCCTCTCTCCTCCCAGTGGAGTGCTCTGTGCCAGGTGGGAAGCACTCAATGTGTTCTCCATCTCCCCACCTTGCTGCACAGTTGTCTTCAGATGTTTCCTTGTTCCACAGCCATCCAGCTCCTGGGGAAGTGAAGTGTATCTGAGGGATGAGACAGTTGGGAATAAGCTGCAAAATTCCTCTCTTCCCATTGTGGGTCTCTGCTTCTTGTCTTTGCAGTTTTCATTTCCACTTGGCTATTTTTTTTCCCTGAAAGGAATCAAAGGCTTTCACAGGGGAGAAGTCCTATTTTGGAGTTCTGGATGGCAGCAGCACAGCCCCAGCTTTGCCTTTCCTGGTTTCCTAAGCACGTTCCGTCCCTTAACGCTCCGTTTCTGTTGCTGTACCAGCCTCAAAGAAAGAAGGAAGGAATTGTTTCAGAATGTTCAAAAGTGCTCAAGTGTTCCCATACCCGAGAGTCTGTTTTCATGGAGGACTTTGGCAACCAGAAATGTACCTTTTTTTGAGGTTTTGGCTCTTAAGTCTCCCAGGTTTCTTTAGCTTTGCTTTCTGTCTCCCCTTTTCATGTTCTCATTCCAGCAGCTGTGTATCTTTAACGTGTCCTAAAGCTTCTTTCCATATTTTCAGGATTTTTAACACCCTTTCATGCCTCTGGGAACCTGAGTTGGACATTCCAACATAGCAGCTCCATAAAATGTCCCGCAGGTATAAAAATATAAATTCTATGAAATACATACAGCGTAGTTCAATAGCATTCTGGAGATCACTGGTGTCCTGCTCCTCTTTGATTTGAGGCTTTTGACAGAAGAAATGCTGTTTTAGAGTAAAACCAAACCTGTGCTTCTCTTTTGTTTTACTAAGTTATTAATCCTCTGGAGATTGAATTCTTTCTGACGACAAGGACAGTCCCATGAGTACCTGAACTACATTTTTGTGTCACTGGTTTCACTGACTTCAAGGACAAACCCAGGATTGTCATAACCTTTCTTCTCTTTGGCTTTAGCTTCTTTCTCGTTGTAGAGGCAGAAGGCACAGTGGGGGGTCTCCACAGCCACTGTCTTGCTGAAGTTCTGGAAGTCAACTCTGTATTTCCCTTCTTTGGTCTTGGACACGATGGGAGCGAAGCGGTAGCCCCAGAGCACCTCCTCTGGGATGTAGGACGTCCTCACCTGGCAGGTGGCACTGGTGGCTTCCACAGTGCCATCTAAAAACACCACCAGCTCAAAATCCTGCTGCAGGATGGTCTCTGCTGCCATGTGGAAGAAGGGACTGTTCTTGTCTATGATGTGATAAATGGTGAGTGGGGAGATGAAGAAGAGATTCTCGTTGCCAGCATCGACTACAAACTCTATGTTGACCTGGTCCAAAATGATTGTCTCTCCTTCTGGGGTGATGGTGGTCTTGAGGAGCTTCCCATAGATGTGGCTCCCAATCAGGAGGCTCTTCCTGAGGTTTGCCACCCGGATGAGGAGGCAGAGCTTCCCCCCGCGCTTGCTGATGACGGCGTTCTTGCTGAAGGTGATGGTCTTGGCCCTGTTCTTGGACCTGGAGATCTTGGCCAGGATGGCCCCGCACATGAAGGAGTTGATGATCACCCCCAGGATGGACTGGAAGATGAGCAGGAAGATGGCAGTGGCACATTGCTCTGTGACACACCTGAAGCCGTAGCCGATGGTCACCTGGGTCTCCAGGGAGAACAGGAAAGCCGAGGTGAGGCCGTTGATGTTCTCCACACAGGGGGTGTGATTGATGGAGGGGTTGAACTCGGGCAGGTCTTTGTGGATGTAGGCCACCACGTACCAGAGCAGCCCGAACAGAAACCAGCTGCCCAAGAAGGCTGAAATGAAGATAGTCATTTTGTATCTCCACCTGAGGTCCAGGATGGTGGTCCATATATCAATCAAAAAGACAAACCTGGACTGTTCCACATTGCCAAACTCTATGTTACACCTCCCGTCCTTGGAGACCAGCCTGGCCCTGCGCCGGCTGCGCTCCCGGAGGTGGCTGGTGAAGCGTTGCCGGAGGTAGTTGAACATTCCCTCTGCTGCTGCCGTTCTGGAGAGTGAGAAACAACAAACACACAGGTTTAATTTGTACCTGCAGGCCAGAGGGAAATTCTGACAGAGTCTCAAGATGCTCGTTTAGGAAAGGGTTGTGTCATTTGCATATTTTCCCACAGTTGGTGGGGAAAGTTTCAGTGAGCACATGAGCAAAAGAACAGTTCCTTGCCTAAGGAGCATTCCAGCAAAAAATAGTCATTTTGGCTTGCTCAGTAAACTCAGAGTCAGTCAACTGTTAATATTGTCCTCTGCTTAGCTGAGTAAGTGGAAGCAGAGAGAAAAGGTAACTTCATCGTGGGCATTTGTGGGGGAAATCAGCAGGGTGAGGTGTTCCTGCCTTTTAGGAGATGGATCATGGCCTGTTTTTGCAAGTGTGTGTGGTACCTTGGCATGAGGAGACCTGGGTGTGACCTGGGGAGCAAATTTGGGAATAATCAAGAGTGGATGCAAAAGGCATAATTAAGCCAGACATGCAGTTATTTCTAGTGTAGTTATAGATGGGGTTTGAAGGTGTGAAATTCAAACTCTGGATTCACAAAAGCACCTCAAATAGGATTTTTAGGTGAGAATAAAAGAGGAAACTAAATTTCAGCATCAGGAGAATTGGGGGTTTACCCACCACAAAGGGGATGCTGAGACTAAAGGATCAGATTCAGAAATCCTTTCTGAAAGGGTAACTCTGCATCCCAGTGGATTTTATCCTTTATGGTTGGCCATGTTAACAGGGAACCCAGGGAATAAGAGTCATTGATGGAGAAAACACTACTCAGACTGGAGTATGGATCAATGTGCATCTGGAAAATCCCCAGTGTTGGAGTTACTCAGACACACAGACAGGGGATGGGCTGATCTGCAGTCAGGGGCTGCCTGCTGTGTTCACACACAGATCTGGGGCCTAACTTTGACACAAAACTTAGGACTGTTCTTAGAAATAATTGATTTCTGAGTTTATCAGCCTCCAAGCACGTTTGGTTGCCAGAGGGGATGGTGGATGAGTGCACACCTCTGACCCACCCCACGTTATTCAGCCTTCGGTGACCAAAACTCTTCTCATGCAGCTGAACCAAACCCTGTGCTGAGATCAGGTGTCTTGGGGCAAAATGCTTCAGCTACAAACCCACTGAAATCAGGGAAGAACTTGAGGGCAAAATATTCTCCCTGCTGCCTCAAACAAAGGATGTTCTGAGCCTACTGTGCCTCTAAGGATGCCACAGAGAGCTGAGGTTTTGGGGTCCTGCAGCTGCTGGGGGGGATGTTTTCTTTAGAAGGACCCAGGTTTGATGAGATGGGAGATGCTGAGAGCTTTGTAAGTGTTTGCTACTGTTACTTTACAGCTGCACCACACTTCCCAATAGAAAAGGCTGGCAAAAAAACCCCTTAGGAATTATTTTTTTAGAGCAAAGCTCAAGATGCTTCACCACTTATCTCAAACCCTGCCTCATATCCCATCCCACTCAGGCTTCCTTTCTGGTTAGAGTAAAATGCTTGGGCTCAAATTGTTCTCAAATGGGCTGCCCAAATTGTGCTGGATTTCATGTGCTGAAATATTTGTGGCAAGAATTGCTTCGCTCCCCTAAACTCTAATTTCATATCTCCAAGATGGGGATAATCCAGAGTGCTCCAACTGACACCGATGGGAGTTTAGTGGGACATTTGTCTCATTTAACTTTAGCCATTCAAACATTTGAGAATTGCCTGTGGCAGTTGGATGTTTGACTCCTGATTGATAGGAAAGGACTCTGGGTCCCCTCTGAGGCTCCACTTCCCACAGTATTTTCGTGAAGTTAAGAATTGCTGTTTGGCAATTTGTCCCTTTACTCTGTAGGCAACTTTTAGTTGCCTAAACCAGAAATCCTCCCATTAGACACAGTTACAAGGACCTTCAGATACGATAATCAGCAGCAAATAAAATATTAAATTACACTGATGGAGCCTAAGCACAAATTAACTGCATGTTGTAAAGACAGAAGTAAATTCTGTTATTTAATGTCCCTGTAAGTATCAGCAGCCCTGAGAATGAATTTATTTCTGTCTCACAGTTGCCTTCCTTCTGCACTTAAGCTGAAACCACCTTTCCCTTGCTCAGTAAAATTAAGATAAAAAAAATGAAGGTCACTTTGTAATGTACCTTTTCCCCATTTGAAACTTTTGCTGTTGGATTTATTGGTTGCAAATGTGGCTGCCAAAGGTTAAACTTTAAGCACGTATTCGAGGAAAGGGGAAGGAGGTCACACTTTCTAAACAATTCTCAGCTTTTATTTTCCTGACTCACTTTTAAGATGTTTGTGTTAATGCATAGTTTGAGAAAAAATAAAGTATTCCTGTGCAAGATTCGATTAAAAAAAATTCTAGGGTTTATCTTCTGATACCCTTATTGTTCAAAAACATTCAGATGACTCTGGTGTTAATTTTATAGTAATAATGTGAAAATTGGCTTTTCCAGAATAGCAGGTGAAAATTTGGGATGCATCACCTTGTCCATCATAAAGTGTACATGGATTCCTTAGGCATAAAGGGGTTCCTAATCCCAGTGAATTAGGATTCTAATTTTCTAATAAAAAAGGGGTTTTTTAAGGTATTAGGAACATTAGGAAGGAATCTGCAGGAATCTACAGGAATTCTGGTTTCTAATCTCCCCATCTTCTCACACTGGGGGTCATGAGAAGTTGCTACCACAGTTCTGGTAGGTCTGATTCAGCCTTCCATGGAAACCTTGAGAAATTTGACTGAGGATCTGGACATATTGACCAGATAATAATCACAGAAGAGCTGAGAACAAGCCTAGAACCTTGAAAACAAATCCCCACTCTCCCCATCCTTCTCCTGCCTCTCTCCACACCCTCCTCAGAGGCTGTTCCACAAGCCCTGCTGGAGCTCCCCCAGCAGATCAAAGAGGCAGAATTACACCTTTCTGCAGGCAGGATGACAAAGAAATTCTGCTTTCAACAAATCTCTTGCTCCCACACACAGCTGAAATGTGTTGATTTGCTGCAGCAGGAGCCAAATTCCCTCCTGGATAAGCATGGTGAGAGTATATCCCTGACTGTCTGCAGGAGATTATATAAAGCAAGTTATATAATACAGCAATTAAAGTCCTTTTAATTTAAATCAGCGAAGGTAGCCTGGCTACATCTTAGCTAATATTTACCAAGATGTTTCCTGTTGGGCCCAAAGAAACACAGTGTTTCTGACTGTCTGGGGTGGAATTCCGTGCTGCAGGAGTCAGCAAAGGTGTCCCCAGGCACAATATGTTTATAGAGGGTTCACTGCTCATAGTCTGAATCAGAGGGGCCTTTACCAATAAAACTCTTCCAGGAATAAACGTGACCTGTCAAGGTTAGCTGGGAAAACAAGGAGCTTCCCCCTCCCTGGCCCAGTCTCGTGTTTCCCAGGGATCACTGGAATAAGCAGAAGCTCTCAGATCTCCATTCTTGGCTTTCCAACTACTGTCTCAGTCCCTCCACCCAGAATATTTGATAGATGCCTGGAATGTAGCTGTTCTCAGATGTATTCCTATTTTTTCTCTGCATTCCTGGGGGTAGGTAATGCCAACCATTGCAGTTCCTGGGAGCTCTGTCCCACCTGGAGCTGCTCTGCTCCCTCACAGATGGACTTGAGTGCTTCTCTTTGCTCTTACTCGCTTTCCACTGGTTTGGTTTGAAAAATGTTGGCTGTGGGGGATAATGACCAGGAGCTTGAATTGTTCTGTGGGTGAGTTTTGCCCAGGGCTGTGTGTGGAGCACATTAATCCAGGGAAATGGCTTTAATCCCAGCCACGTGCAGCTCTGGGGGAGATCAGAGAGCGAGGGAAGGGGAAGGTGGTTTGTGTTTGATGGGGACCTGACAAGAACAAAGTTTCTTTGCCTCCATTTCCCTGAAGTTCTGATATCTGTGGCTTCACAGGCATTTCTTCCCTCCCAGTAAAGGATGTCTGAGCAAAGTTGGCAGAACTGAATCATGAGGGGGAGAACAGAAATGGAAAGCATCTCCCTGACCCCACAGCCTTCATTAGAAACACATCTTTGTTGGGGATTCAGATGAAGTTCTAAGCAGCTTAGGTAAAAGAAAGGGGATACAGAGTTAAAGGATTATTTCTTTTCCCAGTTCTGTTCAGTTCTTTGCAAAACTCAGATCTTCATTCAGCCCTTCCTGTGTTTTCCTCTGTGTTGAACTTTCTCTGAACAAAGTACGTGAAATATCCAATTCCTAATACCTCAAAAAATGCTTCTTTATCAGGAAAGCAAACTCTAACACTTAGTCTTGTGGATTATCTGCTGGTGCTTCACTTCCCAACCCTTGGGAAAGGGCAGCTCATGTGCCCTTCACTGGCTGCCCTGGAGAGCAGGAATTGCCCATTGGGATGGGATGGAGAGCAGGAATGGGATGGGATGGAGAGCAGGAATGGCCTGTTGGGATGGGATGGAGAGAAGGAATGGGATGGGATGGAGAGGAGGAATGAGATGGGATGGAGAGCAGAAATGGCTTGTTGGGATGGGATGCAGGGCAGGAATAGCCTCCTGGGATGGAATGGAGAGCAGGAATAGCCTCTTGGGATGGAATGGAGAGCAGGAATGGCCTGTTGGGATGGGATGGAGAGCAGGAATGGCCTGTTGGGATGGGATGGAGAGCAGGAATGGCCTGTTGGGATGGGATGGAGAGCAGGAGTGGACTGTTGGGATGGGATGCCAGATGCAGATTCTGTCCTGCTGCTTGTATCAAGCTCTGAACGAAGGAGTGTCAGAGAGAGCTGGCCCTCCACTGAGTTAATTGTGAGTGGAGCCAAAACCCAAGGTCACTGGAGCAGCCAGTGAGCCCTGGGGAATGTCTGAGAAGGATCTGATCTGTCATAGGGAACGTCTGAGAAGGATCTGAGCTGCTCCATGCCCTGTGCACCTTCCTGAGGGACACATCAGCCCCGGGACCAGCCCTGCTGGCACTGGGAGCTACCAGAGCCCAGTTTGCTCCTTGCCCTGGCAATGCCAGCAGGGAGTTTGT